TTTATATTTGATTGATTAATAGGGATTTTATGTACTGCAAGCGTGCTAAGTTCTAATAAAGCATAAAGCAGTTTTAATTCAAAATGGTTATTTTCATGCCCATAAATAGTGTTAAAAAATTGCAGCCGTTACTGCGATATCTCAGGTTAGTTGTCTTGAAAAAAATTATGCAAAATGAATGAAAATCGAGATATCGCGAAACGTTATGTAAGAGAAATAAGCCTAACAATGACGCTATTATTTGGGTTGCCGCCACAAAAATTTAATTAATACTGCCCACGCAAATATGGCCGATGTGCGAACGAATTTGATGATTGTCTGCCTTAGAAGATATTGTCCCCAACCATTGAATGCGCATTTGCTCTATGTGTACTTTCATTGAACTAGAAGATCAGCATTAAATTATCTTTACTGTAGATAAACTAGATGCCCATGTGATGATAGAACATTGCTATGGTGGTTATCTAATGCTAAGGAATAAGTGTTCCATTGATTTTTCTGGTATCTGTAATAAACTGTGTGGTCTCCGTTCACAGTTAATGCTCTGGAAGTGGAGAGATGGCATTTACCGATCGCATTGGTAAGGAAAAGAGTCGCCAGGGTCAGTGCATCAGTGATTCAGAAACCGATCAGGACCATCAGAGGAGACCGGGCTGCTTGAAGCCTTGCAAGTGAGAAATTTTTCTTTAGTGTATATTTTTCGCACATTGTTAGTTCATCATTGTTTTTCTTTGTCTGCTTTGTGTTTTTTGTTTATCGTAATGCTTCAAGTGGTTGGCATGTTTTGTATCTCGTAACGTGTCTTCAGACATACATTTGTATGCCATTAGCAATCCCACATCTGTGTTTATCGCTCTTCAGCTATTTACACTTCTGTTTCTTGAAGATACACCTTTTCGACAAACACTGCTGGATCATGGCGGAAGTTTCGTCGTTAGCTCTTCGAATAACGTTTCATGTTTTCAAACAAAAGAATATTGTAGAAAAAACGGTTTTAAGCTCGAATGGATTTCTGTCGACCTTTTCTGACCTGCTTTTCTAATACTTTCTGATCATATGTACTCACCTGATTTTGAGTTGTTGTGGTAGGGTTCGTTTGATGCTTTATGAGCCTGGTTAGCTCATGTTCTATAATACTTTTTTGGCGTATGGTAGCAGGCAACTGGCAGTGTTAGATCGGACTGTCAGTATTTCTGAATTCGCTGATTGCTTTTGGATTATAGTTTGAGTATCTGTCATTCTCACCTCCATAGAGCTAAATTTATGTAACATCCTGTTTGCCTCTGTCACGCATGTTCGTTCTTTGTAAAATAATTGGGCTCTTAACAGTATATCGTCAAATGCCATTCAGTGACTTTGGCATATTCTAATAGACTTCAAATTGTTGCATTCATATTAAAAGAGAAAGAATCTGCTGTTTTAAAATTTCGTTGTTGTTCCGACACTTGAATTTATTACATGGTTTCAAATTGCTGAATTTTCATTTCCGCAGTGGTCCGAAAAAAATGTACAGAACTTAAGGTGTAATTCCGTTTTAAAATCACTATTTGGCATAAATCCTCAGAAATAATTTCGTGTAAGAAAAGAGGATAATGCTTTTAACTCGTATTACTTGCATATCCAGTGACAATTTTTCTCACCGTCCTCCTCCAAGAAATTCAGTTTTATGTGCATTCCTGTGCAGGCGGAGTCAGAATTTTTGGTAGGTTCATACCATTCTTCCTCATCATGTGTTCTCAGAGATATCTAAGCTGAACAGCATCACTGTTTACATGCTATATGTGAGACAGTTTTTTTTCTTTTTTGTGTCTTCCTTGTTTGCCAAATATTCATTGTTTTCTCTCTCTTCCTTTTAGTACTCTATTTGTCTTTTTGATTTAAAATTAGGCTAATGATTGTTGGCCTTCTTATCTTGCAGTGCTATTTTAGTCTCTTTTTATAACGAGATTCCTGTTTGTATGCTAAAATCTAGTACTGAATTAGAAATAGTACAGCAATCCTTTATGCGGGAGATGACAATGTGTTTCGCAACGTCACAAATGCATGAACACGTTATTTGAATAAAGACGTAAATACTTGATGACAGTTATGGCCATCAAAATACCTTAGTAATACATAAAAACTGAATTTGCCAATTATTGAAAAATCTACCCGTGAGTTTGTGGTCACATCTTTCTAAATGCATTAAAGTGAGTTTAGATATTTCGTGGAGTAAAGTGAATAAGTTTATTAACAATAAACTGAAATATGCGAAACTGATTTCTGTAAATTTTAATGTTTCCATGCCATAAACGAATTAACATGACCGTTCTTTCAGATTCTGTGGTTAAAAAGAAGTAAATATACCTTTTTCTTAGCAGATTAGCGTTTCGACCGAGTCACAGCGATCGACATCAGTGCTAATGTTATTCATTGTTCAAGCGTTGCCCTAAAAGTAATCACTGTTTTTCAGAATATGAACTGAGTTGTTGACTGAAAACTTTGAAACTTTCTCTGGTTTTGCAGTCCTGTTCAAATTTTAGTTTGGCTGAACTAATGCGGCTTATGTTACTGTATACACGGCTTTGCAGGGTTAACAAAATGTCCTGATTGAGCTAGTTTTTTTGTTCCAGATGGATAATTATTGGCAACTAGTTTAAACGTATTAAGAATTGTACCTAATATTTTTAACTAATTTAACATCGAAAGTTTTTAATGGTATGTTAAGCATGTCAGTTCATCGTCGGTATTATCACCATCGTGGTCATAATAATTGACGATGTATGAATATCAACGAAAACTATTTTATTAGCCAGTTGTGTGCTACTAAACAACAGCGTTGCACATTTGTTGTTAGGAGATAAAAGAAGTTATATTTGTTTGTTAAAATGCTGTAAAATCTGGTTCTGATGGATTGTGGCACCAATTAGTATATTCCATAGTTTCATGTTTGTACTGTAGTGTATATGAAATAGTAGTTCCTGAAATATCGTTCATCATGGGCAAGAGGTTTTTCGTACTTTAGAGAATTACATGAAATGCATATAACACTAAAAGTGTTTAATTAACATGCAACAGTGGTCTGATTAAATTGCTTTTTAGCAACTAAGAGTAAGGGGGTGCGGTCTTGCACCATCCATGCACAGATTTTGTTTGTTATAATATTAGTATTGTTTATCATCATGTTCTGAACAGTGTTAGAAAAAAAATTTCTTCACTGTCTTGTTTACTCAAAACGCCGTTAAAATTTCGAAATTCTTATGCATAGGGATCATCATTTCAAAGACATGAAGAAATCTCTCAGCGCATAAAATCAATACAGAGGTAAGTTCATGGCCAGAATTTTTGGTGATTTGACAGGGCTGTCTGGTGAATGTGAATTGTCATCGATGTATGTGTGTGGTTAAATAAGAAAAACAGTCTATTGGAGATATCCAGCACTTCAATTGAATGGGTGGCTGGCACTGCGTGCGAATTGAGATCTACCGTTATTCCAGGGCAAGGTTACAAGATGTTTTGGATACGGATACTTCTAGACCATTTTTCGAAATGTGTACACGCAACTGAAAAACAATTGCATACACTTCCTCATTTACATGAATCCATAATTATATACTTGCTTATATACTTTTTAGTCACTGCCTATTATCGCAGCAAAATGATTGATTGTCCGGATTTTCGGACCTGTTTTATCTAATGCTACACCTTCTTTCACTGTTTGTTCTCTTTTCTTCTTTGTATTTTAGCATATCCTTCGTTCTGAAACAAATATTATATTAGACAAGCTCAGAATTTCTGCCTCTGTCATTGGCCCTCATTTTCTTGTAAATATTGTGTTGGTCTTGTTCAGAATTAAGGTTTCCATTTTTGGGAATGTTGGTACTGCTGAGAACCGGTGACCGTTTAAAAAACTGCTCTCCACCGTGGTAATTTGATGATTTAATGTCCTTTTAATTCGCAGTCGTATTTTGGCTGGGACTCTTCCTTTCTTCCTCGATCTTTTGTTCATTTTTTCTTATTTTTCTCTCCATTTTTCTGCTGTGTCCTTATAATAAAAAGTGTATTTAAACAGTTCACAATTTCTTTCATCCTCCTCATTGGAATGGGGTCATTTATTTAAGTATGGTAGGTATTTAAGGTGGTTGTATTGATCTTCTCATTGGAATGTGTTAATATGTGGAATTTGAAAGCTGTGGAAACAGTGCGCAAAGTGTCTGAGAGGTAATAATTACAAGAAAATTTTTCAGTCAAGCTAGTGAAAGTTTCAGTCATAATTAATTATGCAAATTTATTTGTAATAAAAAAATACCGTCTAATTGTTTTGATTTTAATCAGTATTTAATTCGTTGCATTCTTAATATAAATGGAGTCATTTTTTGTTTGTTGTTTTCATCAAGAACTCTCATCGTGATGTCGATTGAACCGGATTAGAAAGTCAGGAATGCGAAAAGTGTAGTATTCTGATTCTGCTCTGTAAATGCCCGTTCGATGCCGTCAGCAGCTCTGCTCCATTTGGGCAATAAGATCAGATACCATTGATAGCCAGTCAGTTCAGTTTCGATTACCGCTTGTCCTTTCAGGTCGCAGAGGCAGATGCATTAGGCGATGCATCCAACGTTCCCTATCATGTCCCATTGTTTGAGCTTCAGCAGAATCTGAATTTGGAGCAGAGTCGTTCGAGACATTTGTCCTAGATTATTCTTGGCCGTTCCTTCGATCTTCGGTCGATCAGTTGAGTGAGTAGTAGCTGATTCGCGTTCATTTCTGGAGGCATTCGCAATAGGTGACCATACCATCTAAACCGTGACTTCTCAGTCTGGGGTATAATTGAAACCAGAAGGAAATTTTTCATGTAAGGAACATCAGAGTAATTTTTATTTTGTTATTCTCAAGCCACTTTCCTGTTTTCTATCCCTACTCTTTGCGGTATATCGATTAAAATGCTGTTAAGTTTCTGACTGAGCGAAAACATGGGTTAGGTTGCTTCTTGAAATTAGCTGCTCTGAATTTGATCCAGCAGTAGGGAAATTTTTGCTGCGGGATAATTATTTGGCATCGAACGGCTCGATATAAGACGGCCGTTGATTAGTGCTTCTACTTTAAGGTCGACGTACTCTCCTCTGTATTAATCTGACTTATTTTATATCTGATTGACTGCTCTGCGGTTTATGACGATGGTTCTGAAACCCTTCTTTGATCGAGCATGCTGCTCTTCGATTTGTAGGAAGGAAGTGAGTGTTACGTGTTATTGCTATTTCTGCTTGCATTGTGCTGTTTATGTTTTGCATCAATTCAGCCTCATATTCGTCTAACGAAAAGCAAGCAATGACAAAATTTTGGGGATCGCAAGCGAGAGTGAAATTTGATTGATTGATTATGCAGTTGTGGTAGTCGTCGAGGCTTGTAAAATGACCAGATATCTTGGATCTGATGATATTTTTAGATCTTGGATCTGAAGATATGATAAATCTATCTAAAAAGATAATTTTTTGTCAGTTTCTTATTAATAATTACGGGTGGAGGCACGCTGACTGTCGATGTCCTATGGTGCAGAATTTTTGAGTGATTCATCATCGTTCATTCTTTTTTATTCCGCTGTTCCTTTCTTTTGCTAGAGTTCATCAGCTTAAAGAGACTTTTTCAGTGTTTTTGTTCACGCACCAGAGAATCTCCGTGGATCAGATTCGGAGGTTTGGTAATGTCAGTCATTCAGTATATCCAAGTAATCTGACCATGGATTCTCCGTACCTTAGCCTTCCGGCAATGCCTATTCTAACAGAACCCATGTCATTACCAGTCACGGAGCTACTGGAGTTGTGATCTATAACTTTTGACAAGGAGTGGATGTTTCACAGCTCTGTCAACGATTTTATCGATCCTGATCAGACTGGATTCTTCTGCTGGTTGTATCCATATTGTTTTTTAATCAATATCAAGCGTTTCCTACTAGAGCTAAGCGTAAGCGTTTTGACGAACTTGTAAGTTAGTAGATTAGCATTACTACAATAGCTTTATCGGCACCACAGTTGTTGATTCTTGCAGTATTTCGCTTTTCGGAATAATTGAAGAGTTGTGTTCTGCCATTTTTGTGTGCTACTCTGAGATATGCTTTTTCATCATCTCTGTTGCACTCCATTTACCTTTGGATTACATTGTACAGTTTTTCTCTATAGAACACAGAGGCACGGTATTTATTTAGACTGATCTTAATCCCATCCTCGTCGCACGCGACTCTGTCCAGCGCGTTGGAGTTCAGCATGATAACAAACGAACATGTCAAGATCATTTACCAACAGTAAATTACTTAGCCCTGAGGTTCTTTTTGCTGGATTTGTGTTTGCTCATGTAGGCCATTAAAGTTATAAAAAGAATAGGAGGCAGTATGAACTCTGAAATTCATCTGCTGTTGACCCGGATGCAGATTAAATGCTTCAGAGCAGTATTATGAGGATATAGTGCTTGATACAGTAGACCATTTGTCCCATGTTCCACTAACGTTCTCTGCCTTTGCAACCGGTTCGCCTTATGTTTTCTTCAGTGTCTAGCAGCAATGTCTGTGTTCATGCCTGTTTCACAAACTCCCAAATTTTTTTGTACGCGTGGCATATGGCGAAAGTTTCAGTTTTGATTCACTGTGCTACTGATGTGACTGAAACCATGACTCTCAGGCTAAATCATGTGTTCTACCATTCTCAGCGTTTCCTTTTAAAACACTGCGTAGACTACCAGAACAACCTCAGCAAAAAGGTGCACAAGTGGTTTCTGCAGTTTCTGATGACGTCTTCCTTTTTCAATATTGTCATCGAGATGTTTCCTTGGATTCTAGGTCTTCAGTTTGACTAATCAGTTAAAACATTTTTTCCTTGACGCGGTTCACATTTTTTAGCTGATGTTCTGTTCTGTTCTAGCTTTAATTCAGCTGTTCTATTGTATTTGTTTTTGTAGTTCTAAGAGTGCTTGGAAACCGAAACCGTGCCTTCAGCTGAATTCAGGAGGTTCCAGTTCATCGGCCTCATCGGTCGATCTGCCGTCAACGTGTACGTTTGGCGACTCATCGAATACGCCGGTTCTACCGTCTGCGCTGAAGCACCCAAAGGACGAGACGAAGTCCAGTCACGTTATGGCTGACGGTCGTATGTCCAGACTGAATCGCCGCCATTCGGACTGCGGCGGCAAGCGACTATGTTACGAAAGCGCCACCGATGTTTGCGTACGTCACTTCCAGCCTCTGTTCTGTTTCGATGAGCTTTCTACAAAGTTAGTTTTCAGACGAACGCCACTGTTGAAGTACACGGCTGCAACAGCGGTGAGAAGATCATCCTGGTAGTCGATGAAACGCGCTTCATCGTCGATGACTCGGTGCTTAAATCAAAGCTGAACACCATGCTTGGCAGGTACGAATTGAGTTGTTCCATTAATATCATCCATATGTCAGTTTCATAAATAAGTCCTAGGAAACCCTCTTTCTGTATTTTGAGAATGGCCGTTAATCGGCCTTTCCTTGAAGTCACGCGTATTTTACTTTACGGGTCAATTTTTCACGCACGGATATGGAGAAATGCTGAAGGCTACGCGCTGGAGTAATCACTTTGACTTAAATATTGCCTTTAGCAGAATTACACTCCTGGCCAGTAACATCTAAACAGTTATCAACGTCATCCCTTGAGCGACATTAAAGAAGGATGCCTAAAAAACATGATCCTGGAAGTATGGACATCAACATCCAAAGGACTACAGATTTTCAGGTTGTCATATAATGCAAATACAGCTTATCGATTTCTTGTCATTATCTGTTTTTACTTACTGCACTTTTGTACAGTGATTCGACTGCTTCTCTGTGCTTGTATTTCAGGATGTTTGGAAGCTCAAGAGATCACAACCTCGTTCACCCAAATGAACGTGGAGAATACGTGGTTGCAGAAGGAATTACAGCAAGTTGCTTTCGTGCCATTCTGGTGAGGCAGACTTTTTGTGCGCGTAACTGTTTTTCTATTTTTATATATGTTGTTTCGAAATGAAAATACTCCATGGTTTTAATCTACATATGAATTATTTCGCTATTTAGGAGCTGAACCTCTTCTGATAACAGAAGCTTGTATTTGGTTTCTTTATTTTGAATTTTAAATTTCTTCAATTTACCACTTTTCACTTTTTTCAGATCGTGATCAATTGAGCATCAGTACAACTTCCTCATATTTTGTCGTTACGCTTGGTCCAAAACGTTTCATCGCCACTGTTTTTTGAGTCTCTGCTTCACAGCCTTCTAGTCTTATATAATCAACTCAACTTTCGTAAGTCCGCCACCTGGTGTCACTCTGTTTTGTTAGAAGCTCTCCGCTATTACTGTTACTCGTCTGGTATCTTACGCCTAAACAATGTTCACCCCACTTTTTTCTAATTAATTCTTCACGAACATGGTCACAGATTGAAATCCTCAACAAACTTTTTGTTTCCGCCCTCTTTTTCTTTGCTTGTTGCTTCTCTTGCGCCCATCAGTGTCTATGTACATGATTGTTTGCAATGCCATCAGGTTAAGAGGTTTCTGTTTGTTTGGCTGCTGTGTTCTTCCTTATGTAAATTACTTTAAGAGTTGTAGGTGCGCCATCCAGCGCTCTTTCGCCGTGAAATTTCTCCATTCATATCATGGCAAATGATTCTTACTTCTTTACCCAAATGGACGTGTTTTCGACTTCTTGCATCCTTTTTACCACTGTTTATGCTTTCAGCAGAGCATCGGGTTTTTCTGAGAAGTTAGTTCCAAGTCAGACTTTCCTGCTTTTATCGTCAAACCATTGCATCTTGTTTATAACTCTTTGGTGTATTTGATAATGAACACGATGTCATCCTTAAGTCAAGACATTTTAGCTATTCATCGTTGATATTCATTGCACCTATTCTGAGACTGCAGTATCCTGTCTATGAAAAGTAATGAACATTTTCGATGAAGCGTTAATCCTCGTCATTACTCATTTCTCGACTTAAAGAGGACATCAGAGCATTATATCGGAAGAGCAGTGGTTGTTTGCTTCTTGTAATAGTCGTTCAGTGTGTATGATGACAGAGCCCTCTTCGGCAAGAACATCCATGACTGCACTGATTTAACAGTGAAAGCTTTTCTAATTAGAGTTTGCATTCTGTTGCACTTGGAATCCATCGAATTGTAGTTCTTTTGGAGGAATGCCTTACTTTGGTTATTGACTGACTGGACTCTCCTGAGTTTTACTTCTACTGCCTCAACATGGTAGGAGGGTAACAAGGCATTTCCAGACGATAAACGTTTTAGCCTTTAGTCCCAGGGAGGCTCAACCATGCAGTGAAAACTTGAAAAATATACCTGGTCAAGTAGAAGGGGCAACACTCACCAACCGATTTAGCCAGCGTGGTGAATTATAGCCAACTCGTCCGTTATGAATTCACTAGTGCAATAACGATCCTAATTCCCCAGCGTCAGGCATTAAAGCAGGGACTATTAACAGTGTCCGGGTTGCGGATCGGAGCTGCTACGGTTTATTAACCCTTTCAACGCACTACTACAGAGAACTTGTAGATGAAGCAAAGCTTCAAGAACTGAAAAATCACCTTAGGAAAATCAGATGAGATTGTAGGACTCAGATAGGTTAGACAAAATAAGGCGGGGCTGTTAGAGCTCGTAAAGAGACACCTCCTGTTCTACCGAGAGTTAGCAAGTGGAAGTAAAGACGGATTAGTATTCGTTTTTCACAGATTATTAAAGAACTGTGTAAAACAAGTGGATAGCACGTGTGAAGAGGTGCGGAAGACTGTTCCTGAAAGTTTCAAGCAGATATGAATTGCAAGTGATTCAAGTACATTTGCCAACTTCGAATCATTGAAGTCAACAAGGCATGTGCTGGCTAACACGTGTCTGTCAAACTGCGATGACTGCGGGAAAGACACCAGCGGACT